TAATGAGTATATAGAGCACAAGGTGCACGAGGAAATCCAATATTCGATTGCCAAGGTGTGACCACGACCTAGACAACCCAGATCCCTGGTCAGTGTTCTGAGATCTGGACATCTCTTGTACATAACTTTCAAGCTGCTAAAGATGGTTGACTCCCATTCCATGTCCTTGTTGTCCAAGGACACTGTCTCCCTCTTTCCCTCCCTTCATCCTTGTTTAGAGGATGGGGAATCGAGTAGATGGTACCTCTCTCAGATCTTCGACCTTTCAAGTCCTCATATGGTTCAGGGGAGACAGACAGGGGTTGCTTGGTAAAGAGCTCCCGTGAAGAATTACGGTCCCTGAAACCCACAGGGAAGTTCTACACTGCTCTTCCCATTCACTGTGGGTCAGCATCCTACCCGCTGGGCCTTGGAGACCTCAACCACCAGTGGTTGCATCAGCAGGCAGCTCTTTGCTGCACTCTGATCACCAGTTCTGTGATCACTGCTCTCTGATCACCAGCCCTCCGTCCCCACACTACACGTGCCTCACATTTTTGCATCATTACCCTCAGAGGTGACTTGATCTGAACACAGTTCCTGAGTCATCAAAGGGTCCATTTCTCTGAACAATGAAAACCAACACCCCCCCTGCCCCACCCCCAACCCCCAAAGAAAAAAAATTCTGTCTTTTAAACTCTTGGAGAATTAAAAAAAATTTTTTTTTAATTAAAAAAATATAAGCCACACACAAGCACTGTGAATACAGTGTGTGTTGCCAGATGGCTGTGCCTAATGGAAAGTCTCTACAGGAGCGGTCCCCAAATCTAGCTGGCCACTTGGGCTCCTACCCACTCTCGAAGGTCCACGCTCCCCAGCATGGCAAATCCTTGTTGACTTCAGGCTGATCTACAGCCCACTGGCCTTTATTAACTTGGCCGATCATTGGAATGACCTGGGGGGTCTGGTGACACTACTGGCCCCTGGGCTCCATTTGCAACTCAATGAAGCAGAGTCTCTAAGGGATGCCCTGTGTTTTCAGTGGACTCCCCAACCCCTCCCCAAGTAAACCCAAACCACGGCCATCGAGTTGATGGTGACTCAGTGCCCCTACAAGGCAGGGGAGCGCTGTCCTGCGGGTTTCCGGGACGACACCTCACTGGAGTTGAAAGCTGGTCTTTCTCCTGTGGAGAGTGGCTGCTGGTCACCGTCACTGACCACGCAGTTTGCAGCCCAGTGCATTGTCACCACCCCCCAGGGCTTCTCGCAGATCCCCAGGGGATTCCAATGAGACGCTCAGATTTAGCCTATGATGCTCCCCCACCCCCTTTCCCTCTCTGCACCAACCTAATGGGAAGAGTCATTGATGGGAGAGATGTGGTTTGTGACTGTTTTTTCTTGCAGATTTCTTTCTTATTTTGAGGGGCTTGGCAGCCCTCCATGGGAGGCCTCTGTATTAATGACTTCTGTTCACCCAGACAAGCTGCGGAGGAGGGACCATTTCCAAAGACTCAGCGGTCCACCTCGGCCTTTGTGCTGGGCCCTTTCCCACTAACTTCAATTCCGAAAAGGCCCCATTACCTTTCATCGTCTCGGAGGCTCGCCACAGTAACTGTGCATCATTACCCAGAGCCACCTCTGAGGAGTGGCTTTGTGAGGCTCCCATGGCAGGTGTGCACCCTCCGGCATGTTGGCAGCGGCTCTAGGGCTGGTGCTCCGCTCCTTGAATAGCTTGGCACGCCAAGAAGTGGAAGGTCGCTCTACGGAGCCGAAGAGTGACCAGGCAGAGATGTTGACCTCCTTGTTTTCTCCCCTGGTCAGTCCCACCTGGTGTCAGGAGACTTGAGGGCAGCTTGCACCCCTGGGCAACCCTTCCCTGGTTGCTCCTGACAACATGTCCAAAGTACATGAGAGAGCATCTCTCCATCCCTGCTTCTAAGGAACACCCTGGCTGTACTTCTTCCAAGGCAGATTGTTTGTCCCTTTGGTCGTCCGTGGTGTGTTCAATATTCTAAAACCAGGGGCACTGAAAGACCATTAGTGAGGGGTGACGTGTCATCAGACAGTTTGTAGAGTGGTGGCTCTGGGGAATAAAGGTTGGGGCACACAGCAACCATGGTAGGGCTTTTGGAGAAGGGAGCAAGCAGGCTGCACCCTGGTGTCAGGAGAGGGATGAGGAGGGAATGCTGGGGCTCGAGGCACAAGGGGGAGGGAAGCTAGGCAGGAGGGGTCCCAGGGATGCCTAGGTGTCCGACGTGTGTTGTTAATTGGATGGGGGTGTCGTTGGGGTGCCAGCAGAGGATACAAGGAGGACAGGCTCCCGTGCAGCTTGGTATCTGTGAAGTTGGATCAGATGTGATGTGAGGGGGACAGCGCTTTTGGAGTTCATTCCCCAGGTCAGACAATTAATCAAGCTTTGTATTTAAAGGTTCAGAAAAGATTATGTAACTGTGTGCCCCAAAAGGCCTGCTTTGTGGCAGATGGGGCACTGATTTTGCCAACATGACAGTGCACCTGCTCACGCAGCCATCACAGTGCGCCAGTTTTTTGGCAAAAAACAGCATGCCTTTCTTGCCCCACACACCTGACTCAGCTGATATCGTTCCGTACGACTTCTTTTTGTTTTCGCAAATGAAGAGGGACAGCGATTTGAGGACGTGAAGAGGAAGAAAAAAAAACAAGGGAGGTGCTGTCAGCCGTCCAAACAGATGAGTTTGAAAATGTTTCCAAGAATGGAATCGCAGATTTGACAAATGTATTAAGTATAATGGAGAGTACTTTGAAGGTGATTGGGTTGTTTTGTTAAAAAAAATTCCACTTTGTGTGTGGGGGGTACCCCCTCGTATGTGTGAGACCATCAGGCAGAGATGCTTGCTGGACACATCGATGTGGGTACAGGAGATGATGGACCGGGCTGTAGGAGCTGTTGAGACCAGGAGTGTTGGCATAAACGTCCAGAGGAAGAGGCGAGGGTCAAACACAGAACCCGGGCGATCTCCGCATGGAGCGGTCAGTTAAAGGGTACCCCCATGACAGAGCAGAAACGAGCACGTCGGTGGGGAGGACACAGAGAAATCTTTGGGGAGCATCTGCAGCAGGTGTGGGGGGAGATCAGAAGTCAGCTGAGGCCTGGGTATAAAGGATCATGGGACTTGGCACCAAGGCTTTGCTGGAAGTGGTGGAGGCCAGGCCCAGGTGGAGAGGGCCTGGGCTGCCTTAGAGAGGGCTGCTGCCAGATGGCTCAGAGCCGTGGCTGGGCAGGGGCTGCGGGAAGAAGGGTCAGGAGACTTTTTTAAAGAAATCGTTTTATTGGGGGGGCTCTTACAAATCTTAGAACAATCCATCATTCAGTGGTATTAAGCACACTTGTACAGACGTCGTCATCAACATTTCTAAAACAACATTTCTAAACGCTCTTGGCATCAGCTCCTCTGTAAATCTGGCTTTGTTGTGGTGTGTGTGTGTGTGTGTGTGTGTGTGTGACTCCAGAGGGTGAGGATCTCAGATAAAGTGGGTGAGGGATGTAGGGGGTATGAGTCCATGGGAAGGGAGATCAGGAGAACCTCCAGGGGAGCCCATGACCCTGGCCTCTGCATTCGCCGCCCCGCTTGTCTGGACCACACCTCCTTCCCAGGCTCACAGTGGTCACCTGTCTGTAGCTTGCTTTGGAAGCGTAACCACCAGCTCTTTTCAGTCCACAGCCTCTGACATGCGATTTGAGGACACCTTTTACACAGCTGACGCCATCCAAGGGCAGAAGAAGAGACAAAGAGTGCTGAGCTCCAGGTTTAAGAACGAGTTCGTGGACGACCCCGGGTACCGCACCTTCCTGAAGAGCTCTTTCCTGAAGTCCCAGAAGAGACCGTAGTCTCCAGGCCCTGCTGCCCTCCACGAAGCCCCTGGAAGAGGAGGTGGGGGTGGGGGTGGGGGGGGGGTGGGGGGAGACAACCAGGGGGCTGCACGGTATGTGCCCCAGGGGTGGAAGGATGGGGTATAGGCCTGAGCGATTTCAGTAACCCAAGTCAGTGACCGCAGGTAGTACCCACTGGACTCTGCCACCCCAGGCCACCCTTCAGGTAAGCTTCCATTCTGCGCAGCTGTTTTCTGTGATCCCAAAGAGTTTTTCTAAATGGAGGGAAGCCACAGCAAATCACTCACCGGAAAACAAAAGCCACAGCCAGGGCTGGGCCGGGGGCGCCCCATGTGGCTCAGGGGGGCACCCAGGCAGCAGCTACATGGTGACTCAACTCCCTCACCGCCAGCCAACAGGAGCCTCTTACCCAGGTGGGAGGGTGGTCATTTATTTTCCACAGTCAGGGATGGACTCTCAAGTTCTTGTTTTCATAATAATAATTAATAGTAATAATAATAATAAAAGACATTTTTTTATCAAGCGTTTTTAAGCCACACAAATGTCAGGACCGGCATGGCACGGCCCCGCGTGCCCCCGGCATTCCCCTGTACAGGACTTTTACACTTTTGTATACCTCCCTGCCCTGTTGATTGTGTCTGATGAGAACCAAGTGGGGGCCATTGCGAAATGAATGGCTCTCGGGAAATAATTCTTATGAATTTTATGGGGATTTTATATATTTACAGAGGGAGATGGGGGGGCGGGGGCGGGACACGACTTATTTTTAAACACATTTTCCCCCCACAGCGCATATTCCGAGTAGATATTTATAAAATGATATGTTTCTTTCATGATGTGCTTGAAAAAAAGAAAAATTAGAATGCACAAAAATAAATAATACGCTTTGATGCATAGTTTTGGAGCTACTGTAATAGGATTTATTTTTCTCATATAAAACCAGCCTAGAGATGTACTAGTGTTTAAAAATAAAGACCTGCATTTTCTCCAGACCTGCCTGCAGACTTGGTTCTTTGTCTCCCAGTAAACCAGTTTTGGGGTAGGGGAGCTGCTATCAAGACAGAGGAGGGACCTCCTGGTGGCCCTGTCGGGGGAGCATGGGGCTGCTCCCATGGGGTCGGTGGTTGAAACCCACCAGTTGCTCCACCGGAGAAAGATGAGGCTGGCTGCTCCGGTGAGGGCTTGCCACTTCAGAAACCCTCAAGAAGGCTCCCATGGGGGGAGCCAACTCCATGGCAGCGGGCTCTTTCATTGGTCTGGTTTTCAATCCTTGTGGATGCCGAGTGCCGAGCCTTTCCCCCTTGGCGTCATTGAGTGGGTCTGCACGCCAGCCTTTTGGGTCACAGCTGAGTGGCTCGTCATTGTGTCCCCAGGTCACCTTCAAGATAGACTAGGGCCCCGGCCCCCCTCCTGCCACTCAAGGACATACGCCATCTGCTCCTCTTTGAATAAACCAGGGAATCTGGGTTCTGAGCACCCTTCAGCTCTTGGGAGCGGTTAGTCACCATTAGGTGACCGGGGGTAGGTGGTCATGGTTAGGCGGTCCCAGCTCTTGGGGACCTCACACAGAACAGGATGGAACGCTGCCGGTCCGCTGTGTCTTCCCGATCATTGGTAGGCCTGAGCCACCGTGTCAGTTCATCTCTTTCAGACTCTTCCTCTTCCCTGCACGATGCCCTTCGCCAGGGACTAGTCCCTCCTGACAACACGTCCAACATATGAGAAGCCACATCCTGCCCTTAATGTTCAGCACCGCAGATGCCGCCTCGTCTTTATCATTGGGGTGTGGGAGCCCCTGGTAGCTTTTGCTTCAATCCATCGCATTGGGACGTCGCCTCATTTTTGCTGGTCTGCCATTTTGACAACCAGGATGGCCTTTCTGGGGCCCAGTTTTCACTCAAACAGATCACTGAGGGCCCCCCTCTGCTCAGAAGGACAGGTGGGGTTAGGGATCACCCAGGGTGCCACACTCCTGCGCGACTGGTCTGGTGAGTGGGTGCAAAGTCCCAGAACACAACAAGCTCCGAGTGGCTCGCCACAAGGACTCATTGTTTGGCTCATGACTGGTGGGTGGCTGTGTAGACCACTGGCTGGACTAGCTCTCAGAACTGCTCCACCCTGCAGGCCCAGTGAGTCACCAAGAAACTCCCTGCCATCGAGACTCCGAGCGAGCCTAAAGCTAGAAGGCAGGGTAGAACTGCCCCTGTGAGTGTTCGAGACCATTCTCTCTATGGGAGTACAGATCTTTGTCTTTCTCCTGCGGAGCAGTTAGTGGTTTTGAACTGCTGATGTTGTCAATCACAGCCCACTTCATAACCACCAAGCCACTAGCTCAGGTGGATGTTCATGTCTGTGGCAGAGGCCAAAGTGAGCAAGCCCAGCCTTCCAGGCACATGCCCACCCTCGGCAACATCTTATGGTTCAAAGAAAGTGCCGTAGCAAATGCTAGAGCCCGGGCCCAGGGAAGGAGAAAAAGACTGACACAGGACTGGCAGAGAGAGCGACAGTCAAACTCCACTCCCTAGGTGGCTGGCTGAAGACTCATTTTCCAGAATGCCTCATGGCCAAATGCAGCTGGGGACGAGCGGACTGAGAACGAGCATTGCACATTCTCCACCAGTACGGTCATCTGTCTTAGTAAGGGGCTGAGCTTGAATCATCTGGCTCCAGGGTTTGACTGGAAATGACCTGTGGTCTTTTTTTTTTTTTTAACTTTCAATTCTAATTTT